AAAACAAAGAATTGGAAAATGTCGACGACGCCAAGGACTTTATTAAGAAAGTTAAAGTTGAGGATGACGAGTATCGTACCGAGGAGCAGACATACTACAGCATTGCGCATACCGTACATGAAAAGGTCTACGAACAGGCAAGCATCATGGTTAATGGTCAATTGAAGGAGTACCAGTTGAAGGGTTTGGAATGGCTGGTGTCGCTGTATAATAACAACTTGAATGGCATTTTGGCCGACGAGATGGGTTTGGGCAAGACTATACAGACAATTTCGTTGGTTACCTATCTAATGGACAAAAAGAAGGTAAGTGCGCACAGTGATAAATCCGTTTATTTATATACCATTTTTATTTAACGTTTTCACTTTCTTCTCCAGGTCATGGGCCCCTATCTTATCATTGTACCACTCTCGACTTTACCGAATTGGGTGTTGGAATTCGAAAAATGGGCACCTTCTGTGGCCGTTGTCAGCTACAAGGGCAGTCCACAGGGACGCCGCTTGTTGCAAAATCAAATGCGCGCCACCAAATTCAATGTGCTGCTCACCACCTACGAGTACGTTATCAAGGATAAGTCGGTACTTGCTAAAATCCATTGGAAGTACATGATCATTGACGAAGGTCATCGTATGAAGAATCATCATTGCAAGCTCACACAGGTGCTGAACACTCACTACATTGCGCCATACCGTTTGCTGCTTACCGGCACGCCGCTACAAAACAAATTGCCTGAACTGTGGGCTCTACTGAATTTCTTGCTACCATCTATCTTCAAGTCCTGTTCCACTTTTGAACAGTGGTTCAATGCACCCTTTGCTACCACAGGCGAAAAGGTCGAATTGAACGAGGAAGAAACAATTTTGATTATTCGTCGTTTGCACAAAGTGTTGCGTCCCTTCCTGTTGCGTCGTCTCAAAAAGGAGGTAGAACATCAATTGCCCGATAAGGTCGAGTACATCATCAAGTGCGACATGTCTGGGCTGCAACGTGTGCTCTACAAGCATATGCAGAGCAAGGGCGTGCTGCTCACCGATGGTTCGGAGAAGGGCAAGCAGGGCAAGGGTGGCGCTAAGGCTTTGATGAACACCATTGTACAACTGCGCAAGCTCTGCAATCATCCCTTCATGTTCCAACACATCGAGGAGAAGTATTGCGATCACACCGGCGCACACAGCGTCGCCTCTGGACCAGATCTATACCGTGTCTCGGGCAAGTTTGAATTGCTCGACCGTATTTTGCCGAAGCTAAAGGCCAGCAACCATCGGGTGTTGCTCTTCTGTCAAATGACACAATGCATGACTATCATCGAGGATTATTTGAGCTGGCGTCAATTTGGTTACTTGCGTTTGGACGGTACCACTAAGGCAGAGGACCGTGGTGAATTGTTGCGCAAATTCAATGCAAAGGATTCGGACTATTTTGTATTCTTGTTATCGACACGCGCTGGTGGTTTGGGTCTTAACTTGCAAACCGCCGATACCGTTGTCATCTTCGATTCCGATTGGAATCCGCATCAGGATTTGCAGGCCCAGGATCGTGCACATCGTATTGGTCAGCGCAATGAAGTGCGCGTATTACGCTTGATGACGGTCAACTCGGTGGAGGAGCGCATCTTGGCTGCTGCACGCTACAAATTGAACATGGACGAAAAAGTCATTCAAGCTGGTATGTTCGATCAGAAATCAACGGGAAGCGAGAGACAGCAATTCTTGCAAACGATTTTGCATCAGGATGACAATGAGGAGGAGGAGGAGAATGAGGTGCCCGATGATGAGGTGATTAATATGATGATTGCGCGTAGCGAAGAAGAAATAGAATTGTTTAAGAAGATGGATATCGAACGTAAGAAAGAGGATGAAGAGCTGCATCCAGGCAGAGAGCGTTTAATCGATGAGTCAGAGTTGCCCGATTGGTTGACGAAGGATGACGACGAGGTTGAACGTTGGCATCAGTACGATGAGGATACAATTTTGGGTGAGTGACTTATTTTAAATTGATATAAGTAAGCTTAAAAATTTCGCAGTGCTATTTTCTTTATAACGCGTGAGCTTTTCTTTCACAAACGATATTCTCACACCTCATTTGAAGTTACTAAAAATAAAATCTTCCCTTTTTAGGTCGGGGCTCTCGCCAACGTAAAGAGGTTGACTACACAGACAGTCTCACCGAGAAGGAGTGGTTAAAGGCCATCGACGATGGTGCCGAATTCGAAGAAGAGGAAGATGACGAAGATGCCAAGCGTAAACGACGCAAACGTAAGAATCGCAAAGATGATTCCGAAGAAGATGAGGTGATTATGAAACGTCGTCGGCGTCAAAATATTGACAAGCGTCTCAAAAAGCAAATGAATAAGATCATGTCGGCAGTCATTAAGTACACCAATGAAGATGGTCGTCTGCTATCCGAACCGTTCATGAAGTTGCCGTCGCGTCAACGCTTACCCGATTACTATGAAATTATAAAACGCCCTGTAGATATCAAAAAGATATTACAACGCATCGAAGATTGCAAATATGGCGATATTAATGAGCTGGAGAAGGACTTCGTACAGCTCTGTCAGAATGCACAAATCTACAATGAAGAAGCATCTCTCATTTATCTCGATTCTATTGAACTGCAAAAAGTATTTGTGACTGCACGTTCACGCGTTACTGCTGCCGCGGCAGCAGCTGCCTCAGCGGCAGCTGCAGCTGGCAATGAGTCGACAAGTGGTGGTGGAGGTTGCGGCGCTAGTGGTGGCGGTGGTACTGCTGCTGGCTCAGAGGCTTCCGATAACGAGGAGGAGGAGCTGGGCGACGATGCTTCCGAAGATGAAGAAATTCCAACCACCTCTACTGCGGCGGTGAAAATGAAGTTGAAATTAAACAAGTCGCTGCCGAGCGCACCGGCTACACCAACACCGGCACCACCAGTGCCCACCAGCGCTGCTACCACTTCCAAGAAGCAAACGCGCCGTAAACGTTCCCAGAAGAAATACACAATTTTCGATGATGATGACGATGACATAGATTAGCTGCCGTTGGGTGTAGTATTTGCGCGCAGTACGCAGCATGCTTGTGAGGAAGGAGGGAGCGTGGCGGCGACGGCGACGGCGACGGCAACTGGGAAGAAGCAGAGGGAGATGAGACATGATGATTATGATAGTGATGATGATAATGAGGAGTAGGCTGCATTGCTAAAGTTGGAAAATTTAATTGGAATTTGGTATTTATTGAAAATTGCAATTTACTATTTAACCTGCATCATACATAACAATTTGCAAATTTCCATCTATTAGTTTATATGCAGCACAATATATTTAAACATACATATTTTATTCTGCTCATTTAAATGCAAATGCATGGCTACTGCAAAAGTATTTCATACGCATTGTAGAGGTAGAATAAAATAAACAAAAAACAACACAACTATGTACTTGTTTCTATTTAATTCTTATTAATTGGAAGTAGAAGTTTCTTTTCGGTGCCCTACCCGGTTTAAATATCGATGCTTTTTGTATCGGGCACGCTTTTCAAATAATTTAAGATCGTTTCCATTTATTTCAACGACTATGAGGTGTCACTACAAATAAACAAATTGATTAAAATCGTAATTATTTCCATGACAGCGAGTTCTACGTAACCGGAACCATCCAGATTTATATCTGCCCAAGGACTTTCACTTCAACTTTATTCGCTAAAAACTTTTGGGGATTTGTATGCTGCTACAACTACAACATCATTAAAATCGGAATATGCGAATATCTGAGGTTTCACATAGGGAAAATTTTGTTTGTTTAATTTGCTGTAGTCGGCTGACCGCAATACCACCAAAGCTGAAATTTAAATATTTTGTTTAAGCGGTTTATGCGTTCAGAACTTTTGTATATGCATATTTGTATGTATATAGTAACAGAATAAATGGGTACGTGTATCATTACTTAAACCCCTAGTCTCTCCTTCTCCAGTAGAGAAGCCAGTTGAAGCCTTGTTACTCGCATCATGCATACATCATCCGAGTCAAGCAGTATATCAGCATGGCTTCCGTAAAATGTGTAATAACATCTCGGCACTTAAATCGTGGGCTTAACCAAATTCGCTCTTGAGAGAGACGGTCTTCGTGGACGGAAAGTCCTACAGTGACACTTCAAGATATTGAAAATTCTTCTCTTCGCCTGTTAGCGATGGCCTGAAAACCATCTGAGTGGTCGACATTCATCGGTTTCGTTTCGACATCAATTCTCCAAACCTACACACGGTTTAATAATTTCTTTCTATCGAAACTGCCTCCTTAAATTGATTCTGTTTCCCTGGTTTCATACACCGATGACTGCTGTTTTGGCGTCAAAAATGCATTGATAGCTTGTGTTTCACAGCGAAAAGGTTATCACTCAAACATTTCCAGCTTCACTATACGGAAACCTTTCGAAATTAAGGGTGATACTTTTTAATGCCTGCACGAAGGAGGTGGTCTTAGCATAACTTAGACTTTGTTTGGAGTTTTATCTTAAGTCCTCCAAAATGCGTGCTATATTCAAAGCCAGAAATCCGGATATATAGCAAATAGAGTAGAGATTTTTAGACTACACTAAGGTTGGAGTTTTCAGTCGAGTCCAAGAGTGCCTCCATATGCGGAGGCAGCCCGCTTACCTAACCTAACTTAAACTAAGGTTAGAGTTGTTTTGAAAAAGTTCACTATTTATATATAAATATCGTTACCTTAATATAGAAAGCCCCTATCTGTGTCTTTAGAGAGTAGGTACAAAGCTTTATTAAATACACACTGAAACTTATAGTAGTTGTATTTAAATTCTATTAGGCCGTTAGTGAGTAATCTACCGACCTTTGTACTAAGCCGAATTTTAAAAGAAAATGAGTTATTGCCTATCTATATTAAGGTAACGATATATTATAAACGATAGTGTATCTCAAAAAGCAAAAAAGGTGACTAATGTAAGCAAACTATATTAAAGAGCGATTTATCTTTTGGTTGCTCGCTAATATTGAAATAAACGTTTCAAATTTATTTAAAAACAAAACTGCTTTTATTTGTTTTGAATTGGGGGTTTCTTTAGTATAATGTATAAAAAATTGAAGCTGTAGTTAATTTTAAGGAACGCTTCAATAAAAAATTAAGAACTAACTTAACTAAGATGGGATCCATGTAAATACATATACACATGTCATTGTGCATTAGCTGGAATAAAAACTTAAACTGAACACAATCAACGACTTGAACTCATAATAGAGTTATATATATAAGTGTCATAACTAGTGCATTTCGAAAATGGATGCACTAATTTCTAAGTAATGCTACAACTATATACATATACAATACATACACTAAACTACTAATGTAAGTGTGCACAAGTATGTAAATGTAACTATATTAATATTTCACATGTGTTTCAGCCGGGTTTTATTTGCTGAAATCAATTAAATACGAAATGACATTAAAAATATATAAACACAAAAAAAGTAAAATAATCAAGACTTGAGAATTCAACGTGACGATAAAAATTAGTTATATGACTCAAAGTGAAGCGTAGAAAATATTAAGTAGTAAATAAGACATGAAAAATATGGCTATAAATGTTCATAAACAGTCGTGTATTACGTATAAAAGTAAATAAATAAATGCCACGGATTTGGTAGTTACAATTTGTAATTCTCAGAGTTACAGATAATGGCAACGGAAAATTGTTGATGCTAAGTACGCTGTTGGAACTCCTACTACTTGAGAAGGGTTGCTCACTCCTATCACTCCATCTAAACTTTTGCAAACTTTAATGCAAGGAAAAATAACTATTCCTTAGTCTAATTTTGTTCTTTTAACTGGCTTAATTTTTGGATTAAGACTTATTTAAACTGGGCACTTAGAATAAGTAATGAAAATATTCATCAAAACAATCGCTCGCGTGTAAATCATCCTCATCCTCGGGATTGCAACGCATCGCTATTTTGTGCGCATTTGAGTAGAGATCATTTATGTCTAGGTCATCATCTGCAAAACAGGAATTATCATAATAAGATCACCCTATGAGAATTTCAAACTGGCTCACCTACCTTTGTATTTCTGCTTTCTTGCCAGGCGCGATTTCGATAGCACCGCCTCATCCGCAATGTCCAATTCAGTGGCAGCACTGCGACGCGAATACCGCACAGGCGGTGTAAAGAACCAATAGTCTCGTAGGATGCCACGAAAACCGGGCATCTCGCGGAGGAACTGCAAATCTTTTGGCTGCTTTGAGAGCGCTTTAAATGCGCGCAATTGCAGGCAATCCACTTGTGACGTGGAGTTTATCAAACGCACCACCGACCTGGCAGCCGTTGAGCAGACCATAGCATACAGGTTCACTTGTGGATCCAGTGGTATATTTGTATAGGCGACACCCAGTGAACGACGATTAAGGTAGAACTCCAAGGTGCCAAGCGCACGGTCCAAACAAGCACCGACAATACAACCCTGTGAGAACTTCTGACCATAGGGTAATTGTACGCCATTGTGCTGGATTTTGCCATTGTAGGAAAGCCCCCATGACTGGACATTGGTGCCAAGCGCCGAAACAAAATGAAACTGGAATTGATTAAGTTCAACTTTTTCGGTGCCAATACCGAACATCTGGAAGGAATTGAGAGCGAGAATTAAATTAAATATAATCGGCTGCGAGTTGCTGATAATTACAAAAACAGCTGCCTCCGTATACTTCATACATACATATATGTAGGTATTAATAAATAAATATGTACGCTTAACAACTAAGCAAAATCTTAAATTGTTTACACGTTCCTGTCCTTTTTTTAAAAACAATGTCGCATCTTTTATGTACAAAGTACTCCTTATCAGCCTACAGCTTTTGTACTTTGTATGTATAAGGCTTACACGAGCTGGATGCACAAATAGGGTTTTAAATTTACTACAGAGCTCAACAATGAATCAAAACAGCAATATAGTAAAAAGAAACCAATAAAAAATACTTATGAAAAGATAAACAAATACTCAAAACTGGGGTACGTGCCATTCCTGTAGGCAATTGCGCGCTAGTGCAAGATACTTTGTGTTCCCTTCCTTATTTTTCATGCAATATCATCCTACTTAATTAGTTACACTTATTTGATAAGATAATGTAAAGTAAATTTGCAAATAATTATTAATATAATTGTACATATTGTGTTGTAGAAGATATATGTATTTATCTTCTGCGTTGCAGGGTGTCGGTTGACATTGAAATCGAATAAGTGAGGCGTAAATTAATTGGATTGCAACGAGTAATGAAGTGTGAATTGCGTCCTAGTTGTAATTTCTTTGTTTGCAGCCCTGACTGACGCTCAATAAACAGCTATTCAAATCGATTAGCAATAAAATAAAATAAAAAAATATATATATTTTTTTTAAATAGCAATAGCATTCTTATTTGCATAGTTACCACTTCGAATATTCGAAAGATTTAATCAGTATCGTTTGCTGACGCACTAAGAGTACTAAAGCGTGATACATTTACTCTAAATTAAGTGAAATTTGTATAGTATAAATCGCGCCAATTTCATCAATTAGAACATATAAATTTAAATTGCCCTATATGCAGAAGATGTCCCATGTATTTTGACGACATTATAGAAATAATACATATGTACATATCTATATGGAAATGTTTTGTTAACGACTTTAACCATATGCCACCGCCTTCAATTGAAAGCAATTGACTGTCTTCTAATCAATTTCCCTCACCCATATCCGCACGTAAACATTTCAATCTCAAGTTTAGGGAAATAAGAATTAGTTTGAGATGTGAGCGGGAAGCATACACGATTTGAATAAAAAAGCTTTAGGTTAAGCTGCAATACCTGTCTTTTGAGTGGACATGATTTTCTAGGTATTAAGAACAAAGCGAACAAAGACCCACAAAAGCTGATATGAAGTGTGAACAGAAATTACATTGTATGTATGTTAAATCTTTGTCTACAGTGCATTTATGCATATCATTTTCACACTTTTCAAAAAATAATGACACATAATAGTAGCAGTTGCTCTGACGCATTCAAGCACCTTCCCACGAGTGGGGTCTACGTAACCGGAACGACGCGGATCGATATATGTATGTTTGTATGACCAAGGACTGCAACTCCAGCTAATTCCCCAAGTCTTTGTGAAATCATTATGCTGTTACAACAACAATGCAGCCAATCACCTTAAAATGCTGAACTCTGTAGGATGCATACCTAAGGCGCGCAGAATTTATTGATAATGATTTTTTAGCTCTGCTGAATCGGAAATTTCAATTTCAATGATATGCTGGAGTTCATTGTGCTGAAAACGAAGATTACTTGATTTCTCAAATCAATGCCCTTTTCAAAATAGACGGTACTGTTTTTATTTTTGCTAAATTATGCATATCAACCTTTTGTAAATTGTGGCACTTTATGATTTTGCTTGAATTCAAAATTCTGTTATCAAAGAGATGATTTCAAAACCATTTTGTTTAGATGCGTTTAGCTTTAGTCATCTTTTAGCGATTTAATTTATCATGATAAGGAATGAGTGCACTAAGCAAGTGTGAACATTCTATTTTGATAACAGCGACTAAAAGTATTGCTAGCTTGTTGTTACAACAACAACAACAACATTGCTAGCTTGACCTATGCTTATCAAGCAGGCAACAACAAAAACGCATAGAATATTTCGAAAGAGGCTATTGGGTATTTTCTTATCAATACAGCATAAGAGAAAGAACTCCACTGACGTATGTATGTATATAGTATGCAAGCGAAAAATTTGAAAAAATATCGCTTAAGCTGCCTTTGCATAAGGCGATTTTTTGACAGGCGATAATCGCCTGCAAAAGTTGACTTGCTGTCTACTTTGAGGCAACCGATTTTTGAATCACCATTTACATGAGCGATTTTTCCAGAGCAATGTTGAATCGCCTCATGTAAAGGCAGCATTATGAAGAAAAATCGCTCGTGTAAATGGTGATTCAAAAATCGCTTGCCTCAAAGTAGACAGCAAGTCAACTGTTGCAGGCGATTATTGCCTGTCAAAAAATCGCCTCATGTAAAGGCAGCTTTACCTTCCATTCGCGATTAGCTTCATATGCTAAAAGCACTTACATATGTATATATGTACTTATGTACATACTATGTATCGAGCCCTAACCGCCGAAATAACGTAAGCGCCATTTTTTTTTGCATTTAAATAAATTAATAAAATAAAAATAAAGAAATTTATTTTTGATGCAGAAATATTCCTAGCGCATCTAGATGCATTTCTGCATACAAAAGAATATTTTGAAAAAAATGTCGCTTACGTTATTTTGGCGGATAGGGCTGGGTATGTACATACATATGTGTATGATTAAAAAATAATCTAAAGCACATATTTTTATAACAAATAAAAATCAATAAGTAATTGCTGTTTTCAACGTCTAGCTTTCGACGTTTAATCTCCAGCAGACAATGGGCCCAATATGAATATAAAAAATTATAACCATAAACTTTTAAGTAATCAATGCCATTATAAAGTGGACAAATACGAGAAGTGTGATAATGTGGAATAAAAACATTGCAAACAAAATATGTATGAATGTACATATCGCTCATTTACTTCAATAGTGTCATATCTCAAAAAAGCGAAACTCGAGAAAAACGGCTTTAAAGTTTTTTAATTTACATATCGAGGGTTTATATTCAATACCTATCTCTATCTCTATCTGCACTTTTCACAAAAATGAGATTCTGCTATAAAAATCTACCTAAAACTTAACAATCATCGGTGATATTATATTAATCCTAACCTTGTATAAGGCTTGACAGAAGAATTTACTGTTAAATTGCAAAGTCAGAATTAACAACAATGATGACAGGTAAGTCTCAGGTGGGTTCTAACATCACAAGTAGTTTTTGTGAAAATTTAGATAGAGGGTATTATATAAGCCCCCCCCCCCCCCCCCCTCCATATACTTAAATAGTAAAAATTAATATATATTTTGTTCTAGTGAGACACTGGCAGTCGATACAACCTTGAAATTTTAGCGGTAATTTTTGCATACTTAGCTCAATATTTGTATTTTTTGGATCATAACACTATTGAATTAAATGAGCGATATGTGAATGCATTATGTATATATGTACATATAAATTTTTTAAATCAAACAAAACCAACAACTTTAACGTTATAAGCTCTAAATATATTTTGAAGAACCACAGGTGAGCACTCTGCAAAAATTTTAGGACCAGGTGGTCCACTGGGTGGTATTTCTAAAGTATGAGCAACAGGACCAGGATGCGTACTAGTAACTTGTTATGCTGACCTTGACCACTTCAAACGTAAAACACTGATACATGTGCTGAACACCATCTCTTCGTGGCCGATCGCCAATATGACTAGGTTGCCGAATGTGCCATGGTCCAAAAGGAGTAGTTGTCTAGACGGTCCCATGTTATGTAGTGGTGGTCAGGTCCAATGACATCGCAATGCTAATGTAACCATATTTTCTCCATATATTTAGACCATTTTGGTTACTAGTTTTGGTTATAAGATAGCGCGGTCGTGTACTAGTACTTAACCTAGTCCCACTTTTTGCAGGGTACGGATATGCACACACATACACAACTGCATATACATACATACATATCTAAATGATCGCATTTAAACAACGGCAGCACGCTTTGAAGACGTGCGCTTGTGCGAAATCAAGTGCAAGTTAACGAACCAGATTTAGAGTTTTTTTATATGTAGAAATTGCGAATAATTATACCCAAAATACAAATTGCCTTCAAATATGACCTACTATTCTATTGGATATAGGCAAGCGATCGATTAAAGTGATAAGTCTATGTATTGGGCGGTTGATGTGGTGTTATAATCTTAATAATAGAATATTAAATAATAACCCCATGTAATATTAATTAAATACAATATGTAATTGTATATGAATAACGACATAACTGAAAACTAAACAGAACCCTTACTACTGTTCTCATGCCTCTAATTCTTTTCTAAGCCATGTTTAATCATTATAAAAGTAAGATATAGGGATTACTAAATTAAGTAGTAAGATAGATTAGACATGGATTAGAAACATGAGGTCCCTAACAATAGTAGGTGTGTTTTTCAGTTATGTATTTATTGCAGAGGACCACCGATACATACAAAATTTGTAATACATAAAACATAAAAATAGAATGCGTCCCAAGCATAACTAGCATGTACATATGTATATCTAATTGCCTGTTTTTAACAAAATGTTATTTTTGCTCTATCAATGCCCGGGAAAATGTTTTATACTTTTTAATTTCTAAACATTTCCTTTGCATTACAAGTACCTACGCAAAATACTCACCACATCGGTACCCGCAAGTGGTGTTATGATTCGAATCTCCCAAAAATGAACCATACCCGCTTTCAACGGGCGTTCACTGCGAACAATTGCAGTGCCCTGACTATAGGTGGGATGAAAGGTGATGTCAGCGCCAACAATTAAAGTGTCACTGGTTTCATTTTGCTCCCAACTCCACTGTAGACCATTGGGTTCACACATAGGGACTTCCAGTTCCTCAACGCTATTATTTATACTGGTGCTGCTTGTTTTTTGCTTTTTTTCTGTACGCTCCCCACAATTACATTTTACTAAATCTGGTATATGTCCTTTATAAGTAGCAAGCAGGACACTTTGAGGAAATTCACAATCACAAAATGGTTCAATGGCACGCTGTGTAGCGTCCAATGCATATTGGCGACGATGCGACATTTTCTATTTTCTGGAATGTTCGGTATATGCACGTTAGGGCCTATGCTCACAATCAAAAATATATGAATGGACGACTAATATCTAATGTTGGCCAAGATGTGCTTAATAACACACACAAACACGTAAGCATGCACGCACGCAGCGAGTGATCATTTACATATGTACGCGTGGAAAATTCCACACAAGCACTTTGCCGGAGTTGGTGTTGTGGTTATTCGTTAGCGCCCACACAGAAAACTTTATAACAATTTGTAATAGCGTTTTTATTTTGTCAAGTCAAGGCTCGGTCCAAGTTAGCTAGCTACTGCTCGTCACCAATTCCGTTGAGCGACTGTGCTTACGCCGGTGAGTTGACTTCGGATGAAACTGCGGCTGTTGGTGTTGATTTCACACGAAATTACACACATATATTATCTCTGCATACGCTTCGTAAATTGTAAACAGTTTTTACGCTAATGTTTAAACAAAAAAAACCAGCTGTTGATTGGTTGTTGATCCAAAAAGCTATTGGTGCTGTTGGGGGCGAAACAAATGCGCTTTTAATAAATAAATAGAAACTGGAATATGCTTTTTTTTTTTTTTTAATTAGCAATGTCGTCAGACATTAAAACGTTGGCCAGGTATCTTATTAACCTCAGGGGCCAGGTTGTCCAAACAACTTTAGCAAGTTCTAGTTCGTCTTTGTCGTAAGCGTATATCCACACAGGCAGGTCCAGCGAAGGGAAGATCCCACGAAGACCAAGAGTGGTGGCTTACAACTTGAAACAGAAAAACTAAGACGCAAAGAATTACACAGTGACAAAATTAGAAGTAAAAACGTATCTAAGTAACTTAAACTGACCTCACAAAGCAATTTAGGCACTTCAGAAATATGGGATTACACCCAAAAAAATTAGTAATCTACTTTTTTTTTTTTTTTTTAAACAGAATACATTGACTCCATTCTTAATTAATATTATTCTTATAATTTAATTTATTTATATATTTTTTATTTTTTTTTTTTTATTTTTTTTAATAATTTGTACTCGAATTGTACTTTAGTAAGCACTACAAGGGTGCGAATCACAGCCATACAAATGCAATACAATCATTTAATGAACAGTCTTTTGCAATAAAAATCACCACTACGAATTTCAATTACTCGAAATTTTATCTTTTTTTGTTTTCTTTTTTTTTTTTTTTTCCAAACTCTACTCTTCTAATATACATAACTATATGTACACATATATTACTATACTTATTATTATTAATGTATATTTCAATCTCATTAACCCTAAAGGACTTTGTCCAGCTTTACCTTGTGTAGAAAGTGTATTAGCTCACTAAAAAGATACAAATTAGAATTATTAAAAAAATCTTTTAAATTATTACAATTGTTAAAAAAGGCATACGTGCTTCTAGCGGCTGAAAATTTACTACACTGAAAAATAAGGTGATCACTAGTCTCTCTGATTCCACATACATCACATAAATCATTTACACCTCTTAGAAATTTGCTAAGAAACGTCCTACCATATGTGTGCCCCATCATCAACCTGTTAACTAATTTGATATCATGAACATCGAAATTACATTTTTTGTCAGTAAACCAAGGACGCCTTTTGATATCACTGATATTACCCGCAAAAAAACTACCTTTTGTACAACTAATTTCTCTAAACTCCATTTCCCACTCAGTCCAAATAGCACTTTGAATCTTACATACAGCCTCCCCCAAGGTGAGATCCATTTCGATGGGTAATCCCTCACTAACTGCAGCCCTTGCAAAATGATCCGCTTTTTCGTTAATTCCAATACCTACATGACTAGGCACCCACACCAACATGGCACTGACACAATTTGACTTAGCAATCATATTGTGAATGGACGCAACTATAAAATTTGTAGAAGCCTTCTTTCCTATCAAACGTACCGCCGCTAGGCTATCCGTGACTATGACCCACCTGTTTATGTTTTTTTTCAGTAAAAAGCTAACTGCTTGTCTAATCGCCACTAACTCTCCAAACGTGGATGAATATTTCCCATCCAGCTTAAACATTTCCGAAATTTTCTGCTGAGGGTCATAAAAAGCCAAACCTACAACATTATTCACAACTGATGCATCCGTAGCCAACAGATAACACCCTTCCTCAGCCCATTTGCTAAATTTATATCTGAATATGCTATTAAGTTGTTCTTTACTAAACTCACACTTGGACCTTCCCAAAGAAGAACTCTCCACACGAAAATTAGTATGTCTACTAAAAGTAACATTTACATTAATTTTGTTAAATAGATGTCGAAACTTGGAATAAATAAAACTGTAGCTCGATTTAACAGAGCTCTCGCCCATCAAATCTTTCCTCAATTCTTCATTCACAAGCCATTGCTTGCCTAATTCCTTGGCCACAAGCCATTCCGCCCTTTTAAGAGGCGGCAGCTCACCAGCCAATGCAAATCTCGCATGAATAGGAGAACTTGGTGGAAGCCCTAGACACCTCCTTAGCGTATCATTTGAAATACCCTGCAGTTTCTTATTAAACCCTCGAGGAGCATTAGCATAAGTCGTGTTGGCATATTCAGCTTTACTTCTAATAAAGGCTTTATAGAAGTTGATAGCCACTTTGGGTTCCAACCCCCCCTTAATAGTCGTAAGCTTCTTAATCAGATTTTTGCCTGAGCTTGCAGCGCTTCTTACCTTATCCACATGATTACTTATTGACGCATTAGCACAAATGGTCCTACCCAACCATTTAATACTCTTTACCTGCTGCACTTCCGTCCCATCCAGTCTAAGCGAAAACGTTTTATTACTAGTTGAATTCATTAATAGAAATTTAGTTTTACTGACATTAATATTCAGATTTAAGCTATTAAGCATGGTTCTAATTTCATTTAACTTAAAATTTAACCTATCAATTGCCTCACAATAACTGTTCCCGCTACATAATAGCGCAAAATCATCAGCAAACTGAAAGACTTTTATGTTATCATCACCCAAGCAGTGCAAACTTGCAGTATATAGGTTAAACAACAGTGGCGATAAGCAGCTACCTTGAGGAAGACCATTTGAAACCTCCACCCTATCTTTTCCCAAAACCAAAACCCTCCTGGAAAAGAAATTTACCACCCAGTTACGAATCTTATTTTCCACCCTAAACCCAGCCAAAATTTCCCCCAGCAGTGAGATATCAACACAATTATAAGCATCAGATATATCTAATACACACATAAACACTTTCTTTTTCCCTTGTTTAAGCCTACCAGCCCAATGCAAGCATTCATTTAGGCACATCGAGGCCGACTTCCCTTTGCGATACGCAAAGCTATTGCCTGGTAAGATATTGTTGCTTTCAACCCAATTATTCAATCTATCCTTAATTAACATGTTCAGACATTTCACCACAACAGAAAGTAATGAAATCGGCCTAAAATTCCTGAAATCACTTAAATCTTTATTGGCTTTTGGAATCGGAACAATCTTAATCGTTCTCCACTCCTCTTTTACAATGTTACTATTGAAACAAGATTCTAACTCTCTCACAAGACATAATTTCGTTTCATATGGCAGTTTATTGACCATATCAAACGTAATTCTGTCAGCTCCCCCAGCAGATTTCTTTTTACGTTTTAACACTACATCCAGATCCTCAACCAAGAAACTAACTACCTCATCTCTTTCATTAACCATACTGGGTCCACTTAAGACTCGCCAACCACTGTTGCCACCCTGCTGATCCACCTGATTCTTAAGATGGGTGAGATATCTGCCATTATCCTCACTAATCCACTTAGTACCATATCTACCTCCTTTAACTTGATTAACAAATCTCCAAGCATCACCAGAGTTTGGACATTCATTCAATTGCATTATTCTAGATTTGTAACTATTACTTTTGGCCTCTTTTACCTCTTTCTTCCACACCTCCTCTAATTGTCGGAGTTTTTCAAAATCCTGAACACGGTTCGTTAAAGCAGCTTTTTTCCTCGCCGCCAAAACCAGCCTAAAACGCTTTTTTAGCTCCTCATTCCACCAAGCCTTAGGGGATCTTTTGAGAGAATTTAAATCAATTGACGCATTCTTAATCTCATTTTGTACTGCATTTACAATACTATCCAGTCCCCCACTAACAACACAACCCGCAAGAGCAGAGGCAAGTTTTCTCTTTTGCAAAAACATATAAGGCCTTTTAGCTACATTTTCTACTTCAATAACAATAGGCCTATGATGGCTTCCCCCAACATATCCCAGATTACATTCCCATTTTAACCCTCCAGAAATATTTGTGAACGATAGATCCAGCACAGATAAACCCTGCTGAGTCACCCTATTTACCACAAAAGTCGGATTGCCATTATTTAAACATACCAGCCCAGCCTTCATAGTAGCATTTTTGAGCACTCTACCCTTAGGATCGTCTTTATTACACCCCCAGTCCCGCATTTTGGCATTAAAATCACCAAGCAGCAGAACCTCTTCTTTACCATCCAAAAACAATAACAATTTACTCAACTCATAATCCAAAAGAAACCTATTCGTTCCAGGCGGAAAATATGCTGAAACAATCAACAGATTTCTATCAAGATTTGTAGTTTTAACCACTATTATGTCATGTACTGTATTAAACCTTACACGCTGCAACTTTATATTCTTCCTACCCCCTATAGCAACTCCTCCATATCCATCAGGACGATTCTTAATAACTAAATTAAAGTCTATTAACTTGTGACCTTCTTTAATATCCCCCAAGGAAAACACTTCCTGGAGAACAACAATATCAATACTGTTGTGCTCAATAAAATATTCAATGTAGCTACGATTCGCTTTCAGGCTCTGACAATTAAGTTGTAAAATCTTTACTGCCATCATTGATTGAACTAACTTTAAGTCTGTCATTCACATTTTCTTTAACCAAAAGACTCAAAACCTTTAATATAGGTTCATCCGCTTGAATATTAAACTTTTCAA